GATTTTCCCCACTCCACGTGTTCCCCGTGTGTGCCCGGAGAGCCGTCGGGTTGCGGTGCGAGAGCGGAGCCTCGGAGCAGCGAGTTTTAAACCAGCGAGGGGTTAGCGAGTCCCTGCGTCGGGGTGAAACGGTGCGCTTACGATTTAACGGTCTTTTTGCAGGCTGCGAGCTGAAAGCAGATAAAGAGTATCAGTTCAAAGTAGACGATGAAGAAAACGAGCATCAGCTGTCTTTGAGAACGGCAAGTATCGTTTGGTTGTTAAGATTTTTATTTTCAAGCAGTGGTGTGCCATGCTGTGAGAAGTGAGTCAACGTGTGCGTTTATTTTCTTAAACATGTTTCTTTAATAAGTGTGTTTAAGTGAATCTGTTAAATAATCAGCTCTCTTGTTGGGAGCGGAACATACCATGTCCCTTGAAATATTTGCTGTATTGAAAAAAAAAAAGTTTCGTCTCTTACAGCAAGCAATAGAAGTCTGGAAAAGTTGACAAATACATTCATGGTAGGCTAATAAACGTACACAAAATGGAATTAAAGGCTGATGTTTCTAATGCCATAGTCCAGATGCTACAGGAGCACATGGAGAGGATAGATTTTTAAGGATCGTGCATGGGCACGTTTTAGTACACTTTATTAGAAACTTAATTTTGAAAATTTTTTCCATATATTCCCTGAATATAATTTCAGTGCTTTTTTTCCATAAGCAGTTAATAACTGCTTCTAAATGGGGGGGATGGGATATGTTTTGATGTTTTGTCCTTAGTATTGCCTGCTCTAAGGAAAACGCTGTCTTTCATTCAGGTAATTCACTTAACAGGCTGTTTGCTGAGCATGTTACTCCTGGAAATCAGGATCTGTATGCTCAGAGTTCTTAGATGTGTCCTTTACGTTTCTGCTGCCACAGCAAGCAAGACACAACTTTTCAAGGCTTTTGTTCTAGGCTGAGCATGTTACATGGGATTAGCAGAAAGATAATATGCCACAACTTCACAGAAAAGGAATTGAAGGGTTGTAGCATCTCCTTTATGGTTTATTACTGTATTTATTTAAATAAAAAGAGATACCTTGATGACACCTGGAAGCAAAAGTCTTATAATTGTACATTACTACCTACAGCAGAATTGCTTCCTTGAGGCTGCTTGCATAGTGCTCTGCAAACTTACTTGCAGCGACACCACTTTCATATAGGTGTTACAGTTTTGTGAATCATGTGTCTTCAGTTCCTGTGTTTTATAAAAAATATAGCCTGGACTTGACAGTGACTAATTTGTTCTTATTTAGAATTTCTTTTGACGGAAGAATATAACAGTAAAGTATGTTCATAACAAGTTAATGTGGGTAGTTCTCGTATCTGAATGTTTGTCATGCAGATGAAGTTAGTCACTAAGTGACACTTGAGTTGTATGGCTTTATCCAAAGATCCTGTTTTTGCAGAATTACTTATAGCATCTCTTCAGATGCTGTGCACTCTGAATGGGGGATGAAGCAAGACTGGATGTATACCAGTACTTGCTTTTTTGAGGTGTGGGAAAAAAGTCTGATTCAGTAACCTGTCTTTTTAAAAACAAAAGATGATATGAAGAAGAAATGGGAGTTGAAATAACAAATGACAAACTGGAAATGTCTAAGAGGCTTGGAAAATCTTAGACATAGCTATAAACAGAAAATATCTTGACAAGCAAAGGGAAGAAATTGATGGAAGATAAAAATGAAGGTAGTGAATACCTAGTGACCGATCTGTGCACCTGATAAAAAACTAAGTGTATAAAGATTGACTGACACGTGTCAGTTAAGACACAAATATGGTGATGGACTTGGGTATGAGCTACAGAAAGAAGTAGAGAGAAAAAAGGGTAAAAGTGAAAAAGGAGGAGGGTTGGTGGATGTAGAGGTGCATAGTGGCATGAGGGTTTCTGTAGATGGCTTCTAATGATAGCTGAGAACATAGAGGGATGGTCACTGCTTCATTATCTGTTTATTACCAGTGTGCATTCCTTCAGTGTGGAAATTAAACAACATGAATGGATACTTGCCAGACACTCCGTAAATAAATTAATAGTAAGTGCTGCAGTATTGCTTGAACTGGTGCAAGTGACAGGAGCAACTGGGGGTGGAGGGCAAGCTCTTAAATTCTTGTCTTGGTGGGCAGTCCCACCAGTTGAATGGTTGTGTTGTTGCTAGCCCATTTGAGAGGTGAGATCAGAGCAGCAGCTTCACCTCTTTAAATTTACAGTAATAGAATGTGCTAGGTGTAGTGAATCCTATATCCTATTTCTCAGCCTTCAGTCTGATACATTTCTGGATCATTGTAGCCTGCCCAAAACTCAGCTCTTGGAGAATGGAAATTCCATTAGTATGCCTCTGCCTGAAGTGTTTACACTCACATCTTAATGGAGAGTGGAAAGCTTTCTTGTCATGAGCACTGGAAAAGGAAACAGAGCCTTGTTCACTTGTCTCAGGAATAATTGTAGTACTTCAAGGGATTCTTGGTTTTCACATCTCTTGCTTGTAATCCTGACTCAGATGCCTGAAGTTCAGAGAACTGGAATTTCAGGCCCGTCCCATGTCCATCACTCGTTGGCCTCCCTGTGGCTATGAGTTTTGAGTCTTCAGGAAGTGCCAGCCTTGTACTCAGTGTAAGGAATCCAGGCACTTGAGTTTTGAAATGCCCTGGGACAGCAGCTCTCAGTCCCTGGTGAATTAATGCCAAAGGCATATGCATAAATGACAGTACTGAACTGAGCAGTTGTTAAGACTTAACTCCTCATTGAATATCAACTCAGCAAAAAGTGTGTGGGGTAATAAAGTGAAGCAACTGGCAGATGAAACATGACAGGAAGGGGAAGGATAAAGGCTATTTTTCTGTCCTAATGATAGCAGTTGTTCCCCTTCCTCTCGGCGTGTGCGTGTACTTCATCCCTTGGGCCAGCTTCAGTGCTGACTGGACTTGTCACTGACCCATTTCAATGCAATAATCTAGTAACAAAATATCTACTTTTTCACTGTCATCAAGACACATGCCTTGAGTTGCACCTTGCAAGTTCCAGTGTTGTGAGGAAAGAGAGTATTGGCTTCTGGAGGAGTGCAGCTGAATCATTAGCTGTCAGAAATAAAATCTTCAGTCTTAAGAGATGCAGAGAACAGTGAGTAGAGTTTAAAAGGCTTCAGAACACTTGGGAAGATTCTCAGAATGTGCACTGTTCTTTACAGGTTACTTTAGGGGCTGGAGCCAAAGATGAACTACACGTTGTAGAAGCAGAAGCATTGGACTATGAAGGCAACCCTATTAAAGTAGTACTGGCATCTCTGAAAATGTCAGTGCAGCCTACGGTAAGTACGGCAACTTGGAGAACTCTGCTGTAAATTGGGTGTCAGGTGAGAAAGGCAAGCTACAAGAGGTTTTGGTTGACTGAATTTTAGTGAAACTGGATAGTCAGTGGGTTCAGACAAGTGTCAGTTTTGGCACATGTAGTAAATACAAGGTAAATGTGACTTTTTGTGCCTAGTAGATTTAATCTAGTCATCTGGAGATGATAGACTTCTGTTATAATTATGCATTTTTTAAGAAGTGATAGTAATTGTGTGTCATCTCTATGTATACAAATATATGTGCTGCAAGCAGATGCATCTATAGCCTGTGTTGCTTTCTTTGAGCCTGGGATGAGAAGAATCTAGTTTTTCTGCAGACTCTCAAGCTCTTAAAAGATTCTAAAGATGACTGCCACCCTCTCTTGATTTAAGGGCACCCTGTTTGTCATTGCTGCCATCTAGAATGTAATTTGAATCAGTGTTGCTGATGTACAAGTGGAACTGTGCAAAGCTTGGGGCAGGTGTGATGGATGGTGTTCAAATTGGCATTGCTGCCAAGAGGAGTAGAAACAAATGTGGATTGGTCTGCCTGTGAAAAGTGTTGTTTAATTATGATAAGCAACAAGAGTGTAGTAAACCCTGTTGTGGCTTATTGACCTGATTTGACTGTAAACACTCCTGAAATATTCTGTCACGTGGAAACTTGGAGTAACTGTATTAGCTTTGGTGTCTACAGATGTTGGTTTCATTTTAATGGATTGTCTAAGCACACTTTGCCTTCAATATTTCAATAAATAACAATGGTTTCTTCCTTAGGTTTCATTAGGTGGCTTTGAGATCACACCACCAGTGGTCTTGAGGTTGAAATGTGGTTCGGGACCAGTTTATGTCAGTGGTCAACACCTCGTAGGTAGGTATTACTCTGCTCACTAATCAGTGATTTTGCTACCTGTCAGCACCAACAGAACTAGAGTGATGTAGCTGGTATCTCAAGCAGTACTTTCTCCAGTACTGACCCTCTAAATCTCTAATTCACTGTCCTCAGAAGCATGAGGGTAGGATAGAGGAGTTCAGAGAAATTGCTTGCATATCTTGTTTGGTATGGATGAGGGGAGTTGGTCAGCCTTGCAATTTCAGTTCTTATTTCTCTCCTTAAAAATGGGTGTTAGTGAGACACAGCAGTTGTGTCTCAAAGCAACTGGGATCTCGGTGATTAGATTGCTAGCAGAATGCTTCTTCCTGGCATTTCAGCACCTCAGTAAGACCTTGCCTGTTTAGTCATGGATGATACTCTTCTGTTTGTTTCTTACTAGCAATCTTGTTTTAAATATTGTTAAATGAGGTGGGTTTTTTACACATTGCCGTAACTTTTATCAGCATTAGAGGAAGAACCAGAATCAGATGATGAGGAAGATGATGCAAAAATTGTGAACACTTCAACAAAGAGACCAGCAAGTGGAGGAGGAGCTAAAACGCCACAGGTATATATATATATACACACACTTTGAGTTGGCTTGGCTGCAGAATTTTTTTTTGGTTTGGTATTAATGCTGCCTCTGGGAGTATGCAGTTGGATGGCTTGCCATGATTTGCTTA